TGAATTCAGTTGAATGAAACTTATGTCATCATAATTAACCTCCTCACTTTATAGATCACTGGTTTTCAAAGTGTGGTGCCTGAACCAGCAGCATCACCATCACCTGACATCTTGTTAGAAATGCAAATTCTCAGGCTTCTCCCCAGACCGGTTGAATCAGAAACTCTGGGTGTGGGGCCTAGCAGCCCATGTTTTGACAGTCCACCAGGGTGATGCTGATGCTCACTGAAGTTTGAAGCCCACTGGAGGAGTTATGAGCACACACTCTGGTACGAGGCAGACTGGGTAACTAGCTATATGGTCACTTGGATTACTAGCTACATGACTCCTTGAGAAGATGACAGAGTCACAGAGATAGTAAGTAATGGTGCTGAGTTTGAATCCAGGCAGTCTGGCTCCAGAGCCCATCCTATACTCTCCTGATGTGATGATTCCTAACCTGGGCTTCCTGATTCCTGAGATGTGGCAAAGGTAGTGGTCTGCAAGCCAATTTTTTTTTTTTTTTTAATTTTCAAATGCCTAAAGGAAAGCAGGTTTTTATGTCCGGTGCCTGCAACTGCCCCAGATAACAAATTCTGATTGTTTCATGTAATGAATTCCCAAGGGCGCCTTTGAATTTTGCTCTCTCCCCACCGACCCCAGGTTTTAAGTGATCCCATCAATAAAACAAACAAAAACATTCTTTAAATTTTTTAAAAAACTTTTGTAGGTACATAGTAGGTATATATATTTATGGAGTAATTGAGATGTTTCGATACAGGCATGCATGGCATAGTAATTGCATGAGGATAAATGGGGTATCCATCATCTCAAGTTTTGATCCTTTGTGTTACAAACAATCCAGTTATACTCTTTTAGTTATTTTTAAATGTACAATTTAGTTGTTATTGACTATAGTCACCGTGTTGTGCTACCAAATAGAGGTCTTATTCACTCTTTCTATTTTTTTTTTTTTTTTTTTGGTACCCATTAGCCATCTCTACCTCCCCCCACCCACCCCCTTACTACCCTTTCCAGCTTCTGGTAACAGTAACCATCTTTCTACTCCCTATATCCATGAGTTCAATTGTTTTGATTTTTAGATCCCACAAATAAGTGAGAACATGTGATGTTTGTCTTTTTGTGCCTTGCTTATTTCAGTTAACGTAATGATCTCCAGTCCCATCCACGTTGTTGTAAGTGACTGGATCTCATTCTTTTTTATGGCTGAGTAGTACTCCATTGTGTATAGGTACCACATTTTCTTTATCTATTCATCTGTTGACGGACACTTAGGTTACTTCCAAATCTTAGCTGTTGTTAATAGTGTTGCAGCAATTACGGGAGTCCATATATCTCTTCAATACACTGATTTCCTTTCTTTTGGGTATATACCTAGCAGGGGGATTGCGGAATCATATGGTAGCTCTATTTTTAGTTTTTTGAGGAACCTCCAAACTGCCCTCCATAGTGGTTGTACTTAATTACATTCCCACCAACAGTGTACGAGGGTTCCCTTTTCTCCACATCATCACCAGCATTTGTTATTGCCTGTCTTTTATATATAAGCCATTTTAATCGGGGTGAGATGGTATCTCATTCTAGTTTTGATTTGCGTTTCTCTGATGATCAGTGATGTTGAGCACTTTTTCATATGCCTGTTTGCCGTTTTTATGTCTTCTTTTGAGAAATGTATATTCAAATCTTTTGCCCATTTTGATTTTTTTCCTATAGATTTGTTTCGGCTCCTTGTAGACTCTGTTTATTACTCCCTTATCAGATGGGTAGTTTGCAAATATTTTCTCCCATTCTGTCGGTTGTGTTTTCACTTTGTTGATTGTTTCCTTTGCTGTGCAGAAGCTTTTTAACTTGATGTTATCCCATTTGTCCATTTTTGCTTTGGTTACCTGGGCTTGTGGGTTATTACTGAAGAAATCTTTGCCCAGACCAATGTCCTGGAGAATTTCCCCAATGTTTTCTTGTAGTAGTTTCACAGTTTGAGACCTTAGATTTTCATCTTTAATCCATTTTGATTTGACTTTTGTATATGGAAAGAGATAGGGGTCTCATTTCATTCCGCATATGGAGATCCAGTTTTCACAGTAGCATTTATTGAAGAGACTGTCTTTTCCCAAGTGTATGTCCTTGGCACCTTTGTCAAAAATGAGTTCATTGTAGATGTGTGGATTTGTTTCTGCATTCTCTATTCTGTTCCATTGGTGCTGTGACCCCTTGGTCAACTGCCATGGCAACAATGGCATCTGCTTTCCTCTCCACCTTGATGCACATGCAAGTTCAGCTGCCCCGAGCTATTCCATTCTGTTTCTTGAGTGAGGATGGGGACATAATGGGCAGGGGCCAAGCTGCCAGCTTCCTGACCAGTTCATCTGGCCCTAGATGAAGGGAAAAGTGTTGATTTGATTCCCTCCTTGGCACCTGGTGGGTAGCTAATATTCAGACCATGCTACTGATTGGCTCACAAGTGACTCTCTCCCCAGAAAGCATTGCATTGGTTGCCAGCCCCAAGCCACTTTCTGAGACTTTTTTCCCTATTGGCTGCAGCTTCATGCAATGGAGCCCCCATGCCCGTCTCTGAGTTCTACTGTTTGCCTTCGTTGTTGATAGCCCTGACTGCTGACTCCTCTCCATCACTGGGTGAAGGCCATAAGCTATTGAAGTTCCCTAGATCTCCATAGCCCCAACCCTATCCCCTGTGTAGCTTTATGTCAGACTGCCTTGGGCTTTCTTCCACCCATCTCCACACCCCCAGGCCTTGAGCAAGGAGCTCAGAAGCTTTGTTACATACAGGTGTAAAGCTCCTGGCAGTCCTTGCCATCATCTTTGTCTTTACCAGTATGTTCTGCTCCATCCACACTACTGGGGCCCACTTGCATGGTGCCATCCCCTCATGAAGTCTCCATTGCAACATGTTTCTTCATTGTCTTCACTGACAACAGGCAGATGCTGGCTGCTCATCTTTCTCCTGATGGGAGAAAAGCCCACCCACTCCTCCCCATCTTGGAGCTGGAGATCCCAGATGAGGGGACCAAGTTCTCCCTATGGAGTCTGACTGGCAGGAAAGACACAGGGCAGGCAGGGGGTTACCATATTTTGATGTCTGCTATGTCCAAGGTACTGTGCAACCACTTTCACGACTCTTGGCTCATTTAACCTTGACAACAACCTTACAAGATATAAATGATTCTTACCCTTATTTTCAGAGAGGGAAAAGAAATCAGAAATGTTAAATGTGCCACTTAAGGTCACACAGCCAGGAAATGATATAGCTAGATTTGAGCCTGGGTCTGACCACTACCCTCAGTCACTCTGGCAACAGGGCGCTGGAGACTAGGAAACAATAATCAAAGCTCATAGGCAGATTGTTCGATTTCTATGCAGGATTCCCCTGAGACCTGGTTTCTTTGAGACAGTGGGTCAGGGAAAGCACAAGAGTAGAGACTACGGGCAGTGGGACTGGGAATTTGAAGGCACATTCTCTGGCACCAGGGAAATGAAGCCTACTCAGGGTTGGCAGAGGTACACGACTCAGGGCTAGAAATGGCCAGGGGTGGTGCTTGCTTTGTGGGTGGGAACGAGAGGCCTGGGCAGCCTCATCATGAAACTCATTCCTACATCTAGAGGCACGGTGGAGTAGGCAGAGATGAGGGATGGGAGCCCTGCTTTACACATGAGGATGCTAAGGCCCAACAGAAGCTCTCCTACTTGGAGCTACCCCTTCCACACTGCCAGACACTGGGCGACTGGGTCAGGGTAGCAGAGTCCAGAGGTGCAAGGTTGGGGGAACTCTCTGGCCCTTCCAAGAGGATCCCTCCTCTTTATCCGTCTCCTAGCAACCATCATCTGAGTGCTGAGTCTCATCCTCTGTACCCTACCACCAACCTCCTTCCAAGAGAAGGTGGGCAGTGCCTGGGCCAGAAGGCCCCGATGCCTTCCTCAAGAACTACTGGCCAGAGCATCACGCTGGTATCCCTTAAGCCCAGCACTGCCGGAGTGATCTCCCAGCCCATACTCAGACACAAGGGGCCTCCATTTAGTTTTCCCAAAGGCAGGGGGCTGACTGGGTCCTCTGCTCTACCTCACTCACTTCCAGGGCTAGCCAAGACCCCTAGGTGGCAGCAGTGAAGAAAGGCCAAGGCATGTAGGGACAACTGAGCCCAAGACAGAATGAAGAAGGTGACAGAGCAGTGGGACTGGACAGGCACCTCACTGTTCAGGCCGGGTCGGAGTGCAGACTTGGGTGGTGCAACCTGAACACTTACCGAGACAGGCTTGTGGCAAGGTATGACCGGCCTCGTTTGACCCATGAGGAGGTTGAGGTACCCAGAGAGCAGGGCTTGCTTGCCCAGGCTACTGAGAGCACTTCAGGGATGCAAAAGTCCAAAGCCTGGACTTTCTCTCTACCTGCTCTTCGGAGCCTGGGATTTTATGGCCATGTAATATGGCAGAGGAAAGCCCCTTCCTTTGGGAAAGTCAAGACGAAAGAGTTTCTCTAGGCCCCTGGGCTTTGCTGGTCACTGGGGCCATACCAGAGGCTGCCTTGAGGCACTCAGACCTCTTAGGTTGGCTTACGGGTGGCACAGGGCCCCCTAAGCCTCCTGGGGCTGGGACTTCACTCTTCATTCAAGCTGTTTAGAAGGGGAAGGAATGGCCGCTTAGCCAGGCTCATCTCTCCCTAGGATGCCTGAGGTCATTCATGCTTGTGGCCAGGTCATGAGATGGGGTTTGCAGCTTCTGCTCAAGTTCTGGCTAACTTTCCACCCCTTCTCCGCGCACCCGCCACCCCACCCCACCATGCCTGGCCACAAATCCCTCTCCAAAGAGAAGAGCTGAGGCCCTCCCCGTTCTTCCTGTGGACTCACCCAAGACCTGTTGCCAGTAAGCTGGGACTCAGCAGAGGGTGGGGTGAATGCTCAATGCTCTGAGCCCTAACACTGAAGCCTCAGTCACAACCCCAGTCCCCAGTCCCTAGCCCATTGTCAGCAAAGACAGCCACAGTCAAAGTGCATCTCTGGTAATGCTTTATTGATCTGAGGGATCCTGCTGCACCTGGCTCTCTACCTCTCCATTCTCATCTGAAATGCCCCTCAGGCCTTCCAGACCCTTGCCCCCACCAGAGATTATAATACACTCATGAGAATTGATATATATGTGTGTCTGTGCAAATGCGTGTGTGTGTGTGTGTGTGTATATGTGTATATATACACACGTGTGTGTGTATCTATATAAACACATATATACACACACATATACATATATATATATATAAACTGTACAGTATTTACAGGTACAAATAAAATAGGCTTGAAAATTACAGTGGTGGTTGGGACCCATCTCATTTCAGTTTACTCAGCAGATTGAAAAATAAAGCACCAGTGGCCTTTGAATGGCATTTGAATTTCCATGTGAGCAAAGATGGCTGGCCAGTGGGACAGAACAGGTTTGGCTTAAGCTCCAGCTGGCTAAGATAGGCCCTTCCATCTGTCTGGCCCACGGGCCAGGTCTCTGCTTGAGAAAGGGGCTGTTATGTTAGCCCACTACCATAAGCAAAAGAGACGATGACACAGACCCTTGTCTCTTAACCACACTCTGCTTTTGCTTGGCCTGGGCAGTGGCAGTGTGTGGACAAAGGCTACACAGGACCCCATGGGGTGGCAGATAAAGTGTGAAACCCAAGTCAGGGAAAACTGGTTTCATTGGCATCTTGAGACTTGAGAAAGGAAGCTTCTCCACCCTCACATCCCAATCTATGCCAAATCGTCATGTCGCTTATTAGGGGCCTGTCAGTGCCCACTCTTAACTCAGCCTCTTAAAATTCAGCATCATATTTACACAAATGAAACAGCTCATGGTGATTGGGGCTGCCCTGCGCTCCACCCCTGTGCCCATTCACTCCAGTCCAATTCCTCTGAAAAAGACACTTCAGGGCCAGTGTTGGCCCCAAAGGCAGGACCAGAACCTCCTGTCCAATCTCAAAAGCACCCTTGCAGGAAACAAGACGGCTTGCCCTCTCAGTCTGGCAGAGAGCTGGGATCACACACTGTTGTCGACCTCTTTGCCCCTGCAGGTGGGGAGCTGTGGAGGCTTCAGACCAAGTGGCGGCCTCACAGGCAGGTGGCTGGCGGCAGTAGTCTTGCTACTCATGTGATTCTCTTCTCATTTCGGGAGAGTAGAATACAGGGTTGGGGGTGAAGGGGGAGTAGAGTTGCCTAAATTCTCTTTTTCTCCCCTCTACGTGCAGAGGAGCTTTAGGAAAGGGGACAGGACAGGCAGCTGGAGCCACCTGGGCCTGGCTCTGCTCCTGACAGCAGCACCCAGGGGGCTGCTCTGCTCTTATTCCCCCTCACTCCTTTGGTGCCCAGGGGGCCTGAGTGGTGCCACCCTGGGACCAGCCCAAGGCTCACAGTTTTGTCTCAGGGCCCACTGCCTGCAGGGTGGGGAAGGAGTCCCGGATCTTTGCCACTTCCATGGCACACAGGTGCCCAAAGACTTTGTTGTACCAATCAGGAGAACGGCCCCTAGGGAAGTAGAAGAAACCAGGCATGAGCAATGTGTTTTTCCCTGGAACCCTCACCAGGGAGAAGGAAGAAAGGACTTGTCCCAGCCCCAGGGATCAACAGCATGGGGCAAAAAGGAGGGGCAGAGGCAGGGGAACGGGTCAAGGCCAAGGGGGTCGAGCAGGCTGTCCCAGGCCTGGTACCTGAGGTCAGCCCGGCAGATGTGTGTGAGCCGAGAGCGGCCCAAGCCACAAGGCTCCATGAGGTACTGGGACGTGAGCATGAGGGCCCGCACACCCGACTCTGGCACAGGTTGCTCAGGATCCAGGGACTGGGAGACAAGCAGGCAACCCCCACGAGGCAGGTCAGAGCGCCACATCCTATTGGAGAAAGGACACATAGGCTCAGATTCCTACTGCTGGTTTCCACCCCACTTCTCGGGCCCCCCAAGCACAGCAGGGTAGCAGCTGCGGCCCCTCACCGAAGCACCACAAAGTCGCGGCAGGGATGGGGTGCCATGCTGTCGGTGACATAGTGGTACAGCTCCACACCCGGCATCAGGGCTTCCAGCACCTGGGCCCGCAGCAGATCCTCATCCCAGAGGGCCCGCTCCCGGAGAACACGATGCAGCACCACAGCTGGGGGGGCTGCCACCTCTGTGGACGCCTTCCACAGCCGCAGGGGGTGCCCGTCCGGTGCCTGTGAGCCACAGGAGTGGGGATGGGGGTAGCTGTCAGGGCTGGAGAACTCTGACTCCAGCCCTAAGTCCGGGCCTCAAACCGCAGCGCCTGAGGTTTAATAGGGTAGGCTGCAGAGCTCCTCTGCTAACCCTGGCCAGACTGAGACAGTGCTCCCATGCTCCCTGCCCTCTCTCTCTCTTTTCTGGATGTCTGCTTTTCAGTCTGTTAGACAGCATAAAAAGATGATGGGGTACACATTCCCAGAGGCCTCTCAGGCCCTACCATGATGGGCACAGTGCGTGGAGGTGCAGGAAGATGGTGATTGTCAAGGAGCTCGCCATCTAGCACAGGCAGTAAAACACATGCACAACAAAAGCTGCCACTTACAGAGCCTTTTGTATGTACCAGGCACTCACCCTGATCCTACATAGGAGGTTTTGTTATGACCGTTTTTTACACAGGACACTTCAGGCTTGCAATCTTACTCAGAATCCACGTCCAAGAAAGAGCATGACCAGTGCCCAGAGGGGAACAGAGAGAAATCCCCTCCATCCTGGGGCATGACAGAAGGTTCTGAATGGAGGAGGAACACATTGCATTGTCGCTAAAGGTGCCTCGGAAAATGTAATGCTCAGGGTCAGGGCAGTCCAGGCAGCAGGACGGCACGAAGGTGCAAAATGCAAGGATTCAGCTGGACTGCGGGGCAGGGAGAGATGGGAGTTGAGGCTATCAAAGCAGCATCGTATCTGGAATGGGGCTTTTGGAAGGTCATTCTGGCAGGTGGTTCCTGAGAGAGTTCCCTCGGTCTCATTTGGTTCTTGATTCCTTAAGGTACTTTCTTGACTCTCTGACATTCTCCAAGGACAAGGCCGAGGCACAGTGAGACTTGGGGGACAGCTCCTCCCCGGCTCCTTCCTTTGGGTTCCCTGACTCCCCTTGCCTGCACCATGCTCTCCCAGCCCCATAGCAGCCACCCGTGGTGTGGTACTCACCTTCCTGCAAGCCAGTTCCGTGTGCTGGGGCCCTGGCACGCTCATCCAGCCCTTGAAGCGCTCAGCAGCATCACGCAGCAGGTCCTGGATGCTCTCCTCCATGTAGAGGCTCAGGCTTACCCCTGCAGCTTGGGCCTGACGCAGCTCAGCCAGGGCTGGGCCGGGAGGGCTGAGCTCAGCTGCACTGTAGGAGCTGCACAGCTGCAGCACCATGTCCTGGGGCACCTGAGAGGGCACACACACACTGGGCTGCAGCTCCAGAGAGCAGGAGACCCCATGGGGTCTGTCAGGTTCACGTTAAGGGCAGTAGAGAGGTGCAGCTACCACAGCAAGGTAGATGAGAACCATTGTGGAGGAAGAGTTGGGGGTATAAGCTTGAGGGGTATGTGTCAAATTGGGTCCTATCCCTGACTTGGGGCACCGAGGTCAGGCCTGATGCTTCCCCCAGGTCTGGTAAGTAGGCACCATGGCCTGGGGTTACTCACCTGGAAAAGTTTCTTGCAGTCACTGATCATGTGCGACAGGCCCTGGGTGGCTGCCATGTTGTCACTCAGGTCCCTAGGGCCTGGCCTACCAACGAGGCTGCGTTTGCTCTTGATCCTAGATGGGGCAGGAGGTGGTGAGAGGAGAGATGGCACAAGGGCACAAGACAAGATGACAGACAGGCTGCCTTGTAGCTGCCAGGAAGCCACTTTGCCAAACTTGGCCACAAAGCAACCTGCTGCCTTTTGGAAGGCCCTGCTCCACAGATCCCACCAGCCCAGGGTCCCTGAGGAGTCAGGCTCACTCCTTGCGGTGAGGACGAGACACAGCAGTGCCAGTCATCAAAAGCCAAAAGTCCAATGGGGCCCAAATTGTCTGGACCTGGCCCGGCCCTGACATGCCGTGCCCCATTTCACCTGGGAGAGGGGCTCTCCTTCTTAGAGACATTGAGGTGGAAGATGGAGGGCGCCAGGCACACTGCCAGGTTGCCTGCTGTCATCTGGTTTTCCTCGGCAGAGGCAATGTCACTTAAGAAGTAGAGCAGAGTCTGTAGCACCTCTCGGTTCTCATCGGGGAGCAGCAAGGTGGCGGCTTGTGCTGCTGCCAACCACTGATCCTTGGGGAGGACTGTGAGGAAGCAATGGAAGAAGAGCCTTCCTTACTTCCCCAGAGGCCTTAGCAGCCAGCCTCCTGCTTCCAAGGGGGCAAAAGGCACAGAAGTCCCGAGGGGAGCGGCGAGAGGGAAGGGAAAAGTTCAGTTCTGTGAGGTCTCTGGGTGCTTGATCTAGCTTTATTACTAACGTACAGTGTAACCTTAGGTAGTTTCCCTTTCTCCCCTCAGGGCCTCAGTCTACCCTTCCATATAATGGGTTTGGGGAAGCAGAATGGTCTCTCTGCAAGGGCCTTTTCAACTCCAGACAGTAACTGTTCCAATCAGCTCACAGGTCCAGCTACATTTGCCTGCACCAGGCTTATCTTCCACAAGGCCTGGGATTCAGGGAGGCTGAGAATGGGGCAGGTTGTTGGGGATAGGAGTGGGTGACTCACGCTGGTAGATCTGGAGGAAAGTGGTGGTGAGCTTGCTGGTGAAGATGGGCTCGGGCAGGTCCCGGAAATACTGCTTTAGCAGGTCAGCCACGTCGTAGGCTGACTGGCCCTCATAGCAGACGTTGTCAGGCGAGGTCTCATTCATTTGGCGCAGGTTCTGGATCCTAGACTTGACCCCAGACTTGCGGAAGATGCCTACCTGGTCCATGCAAGGGAGGGAGGGAGGGAAGAAGACATGCGTGAGTAGGAGGGAGAATGTGAGGCCACTCCTGGACTGGGTGTCAGGAGCTTAGGCCACCCCAGAGACTTCAAAGCCTATCAGGCCTCCTGAGGGGCAGGGTAGGAGACAAATGGGAAAACCAAAGAGAAGGAATTTTACAGCTTCAGGACAAAAAAGAAAAGATGCTTTTGTGGAGATGAGTAGGAAAAGGTGGATCTAGGCAAATTCAGGCTCCCAGAAGATAAGGCCTATGGAGCCTGGGCCGGAAAGAAGGTAGCACAGAGCTGGGCCTAAGGAGTAGAAAGGAGTTTCATCCTTGCTGGTCCTTGCTGAGAACAGCAAAGCCCTCTGGTGGACCAGCCCAAGTGAGGGGGAAGGCCAGAGCAGTTCCTCTCCCCAGCTCCTCAGCCTTCGGCCCAATGCCCACCAGCACCCCACCCCTGCACCATCTCCCCACAGGCTGCCCCACAAGGGCTCACTTGGTCCAGGCACTGGCTGCGCAAGTAGCGCATGGCTTGCTGAATGCTCTGTGGCAGTGGCTGGCCCGTGCGCTGTACATGGATGAGGGGTGGCACCCCAAATACGTGCTGTCCCCGGTAGTCTGGGGTCTTGTTTCTCCTCATGAACTTGGGCATTGACCTGTTTGGGAGAATGACAAGTGATCAGATAGGGAGAACACAGTTTGGAGACTCTGCCTGCAGTCTTAGAGGATCAGGTGGGGTGAAGAGGGTAAGGCACACACCACTGTCCCAGAGTCAACACTCATTGAGCACCTGCTTTGGGCGCAGCCCCAGGGAGTCACAGAGGAACACTGAGAGCTCTCAGTCTGGCCAAGGAGATAACTGTGTCAATAGGCAGTAACAACTCATGTGGCCAGTAGGAGGCCAAGAACTTAGGGGAAGACCCATTGAGGGAGGGGAACTGTACCTAGTGAGTTAGGGAAGGCTTCAGAGAGGATGTGGTAACTCAGCAGGCTCTTGAGGGATAGGAAGGCATTGTCCCAGAGGAGAAATGGGGAAAATGCATTACAGGCAGAGAGCACAGCACAAACAAAGGCAAAGAGGCAGGAAAAGGATCATAGCACGTTCACGGAAGGATGACTGGTCCCACTGGTCTGTAAGGTGGGGTTGCTTAGGAGGGGTAGGCTAAAGAGCCAGAAGGATGGAGCGGGACCAGAACAGGAAGCAGTCATGGTGGGAGGGAATCTGGACAATGGGAAGCCAGAGAAAAGTGTTTATCTGGAGAATGACAACCACACCTGCATTTTAGGACAATCTCACTAGTTGCAGTACGGAGGTTGGGATGGAGAAGACACAGCTGGAGGACTTCAGGTCCTCTGCCCCATACCCAGCCTTACCAAGCCCCTCCAGCCTCCTGGCATATCACACTGCTCCCCTGGCCTGTGGGCCCTGCCTGCCTGCACCCACCTCCTGGGCTGACCCTGCCTGGGGCCGTGGACCTGAGTCGGCAGTGTCCCACCCTCCGTGGCCCAGAAGCCACTCACCAGACCCAGCCCTGCTTGTGGGGCACAGTGTACTTCTCCATGAAGGCAGTAAGCCGCAGCAGTGAGCCCTTGTGCAGGAGGTTGATCTGGCCTGCAAACTGCCGGTTGATCTCCAGCGACTCTGAGTTGAGGCTGGGCCGATGGGAGTTCTGGAAGCTATGCCAACGGAGCTTCCTGGTGGGGGGCGGTGAGAGGGGTGGAGAGGCCCAGAGGAGCAGGTTTGGCTAAACCTTAGAAAAGGTGTGTGTTATTCTGGTCCCCTTTTTTCTCTCCAAAGAAAACATGCAGGGAGTTGGGACCACTTTCAGGGCTGCTGCTGAGGCCCCAGGGTGGAAAAAGCTTGGACTCAGCTTCTTAGGGGCCAGGAAGTTCTTGGGGAGGATGGCACAGAGCTCAGGCCCATCTAGTGCCAATAAGCAGTGAAGCCCCCTGCCCATTCCAAAACTACCGTGGAGGGGCTGCTCCAAGAAACTCTGAATGGGCAAACCTGGGGACCAGAGACCATCTCCTCTAGCACCCTCCCTCACTTTACAGATGAGGAAACTGAGGTCCAATGAGGAGAGCATCATTTCCTCAAGGCCACAGCAGAGGCAGGTTCTGGACCTAACTTTCTGGATTCCCAACTCCTGTACTCTATTCTCCTGAGCTGGCTGTGAGGGGATAACGCAGCCCCCAAGCACTTAGCCCTGGGCCTCATGACTGAGAAATCAGCTTCAGAGACAGAGAACAGGAGTCCCTGCGTCCGCCCCATCCCAACCCAAACTCTCACCTGCAGGGTCTGGTAAGTGAGGCCCCAACACCTGAATCGCGCCGTTCACGGGGCATTGATGCCTGGAGTCCAGCCAGGGGCCCCGCAGCCTCAGCCTCATTCATGGAGTTCCCACTACTGTCAAGTTCGCTGGAGGAGGCCACAGTATCAGAAATGGAGTGTCCTTCCTCCACAGACAGGCTAGAGGCAAAGGTGGGTTCCCCGCCTGAATGTGCCTCCTGCTCACTGTCCTGGGCTGGGGCCGGGGCCAGGGCCTCAGTCTCTTCCTGTGCCAGTGGCTCAGCCTCAGCTGAAGCCTGAGCCGGAGCCAGGACTGCTGGCTGGACTTCAGCCTGGGCCCAGGCTGGGGACTCTCCGTGGGCCAGAACCTCCATCTGGCTGAGAGCCTCAGCTTGGCATTTGACCTCAACTGTGGCTATTTGTACTGATGAAGTGGCCTCCTCCTCTTCCTCATCTCCAGGCCCCAGGTCTGAGTACATGGCCCGAGACCACAGCTCTACTCGTTGCTGTAGCCCCCACACGTGCTGGAGGATGTCGTCTAGGTGAGCATAGCTGCCCCCACTGTCCTCATCATCTTCATCTTCAGCCTCGACCCCAACCATTACAGGCTCAGCTGGGTACAGCTCAGGTAAGTTGTCATACGTGCTGGCATGGCTGCCCGTTGAGCCACAGGAGCCCCGGCGCCCCTCACAGCCCCACCGCCTACCTGACTGCCAGTCTGCCAGGCGGTGTCCGTCCTCAGGACACAGGCTCTCAATGGACAGGGAGCGAGGGAATGTGCCTGGTTTGTGGTCCCCAGGCACATGCACCAGGCAATCACCCCGGTGTATCCGCTGAGGATGCCGGAACAAGGCCACTGGCCAAGCCTCCCAGGCCTTCCGAGTGTTGGCACCACTGCCACCGGCTGAGGTGGCGGCCCAGTTCTTGGCCCTGTAAAATCCGGCTGAGAGGAAGCCACGACAACTGCGGAAAGATGAGGCTTTGGAGACCTTCTCTGAGGCGGCTGGACTACGTTCGGGCTCTGCTTGCTGGCTGCCACTCTTTTCCTTCCGCCTCAGAGACTCAAGGTGCTTGAGGAAGCTACGGTTACGATGGCGCTTCTTGGCTTTGTCCTGGGGACCCTCCTGGCCCTGGGTGGGGCTGAGGAAGGGCCGGTCACTCAAGCTGGGGGCACAGCCTGGCAAGGGCAAGTCTGCTGGCTCGGGTGGTAGGCTCACGGTGATGACTGGCAGAGAGGTGGCACTAAGCTCGGTGAGAACGCTCTCACAGCTTGAGGTCACTGGCAGGCCAGGGCTCGGTGGGGCCAACAGATCAGAGGACCCCATAGGAGACCAGCACTTACTTTCCTGCTGGAAGGCCCAGTGGCTACTGATGGTACACTGCTCTTCCTCTTCTGAGTCTTCATTCTGGGAAAGGCACTGCAGGGTCAGGTCAGAGAAGCCCAGGCCACAAGTCCTTGCTTGTACTCCACTCTCTGCTTCCAAACTCTTGGGGGACTCTGAGATGAAGGGCCCTGCTTTCTGGCTGAGAACATGGCCTAGGTGGGTAGAGCTAGCTCTGGGAGTGCCAGAGGAAGCCAGGAGTCACAGACAGAGCCCAGATGTATGGTAATGGTAATGGTCAAGTAACTAATCTAACCCCCCTTCCAATTTTACAGATAGGGAACAAACCCACAAACCAGAAGCCACTTGCCCAAGGTCAATGACATACATTAAGTCAGTGACAGACCTTCCCAAGCTCTGGGCTGCAGTCTTAGATTAGAATCACAACAGAGGTGGACGGAATTTGAGATTTTCTAGTTCATCTCCTTCTTTGCAAAATGGGGAAACTGAGGCCCAGAAGGGAAGAGGTTTCCCTGAGATCCCTCAGCAATCAGTGGCAGAGCTGAGACCAGGCCCCATGGGCCTCCTGTCTCACAGCCCAGGGCTTTGGTAACTTGGCTGCCCCACCTGACTACAGGTCTCTGGTATAGAAAGCCCCAGAAAAAAAAAAGCAAGAAAGTGAGTTCCCAGGAAAGAATGGGGTCATAGATCTCCTCCATCTCTACCCCTAGCTGGGGAAAGGTACTGCTCTGGACATCTCAGACTCCTGGGATACTAGAGCTAGTTTTACAAATGGTTTACATACGCCCTGGGTTTCCTTATGGCGCCACAAGACCACAGACCCGTTCTTTGCCATGACTCACCTGCTTGCTTTGAAAATGAACCTCCAGTTTCATCGAGGCACAATTGTTCAAGGTCATCAGCCTCCTGTAATAAAGTGGAAGTGTCCACCCAAGGTGGACATCCCCAAAGCCTGGCAGAGCCTACCAAGATGAACCCACCACTTCACATGCCCAAGCCATCAAAACTTCTCGCAGACTCCAATATTCCTAAGGTTTAAGAACCAGAGACAATGCTGGCAAGATTATGGCCTCTGCCCTCCAGGAGCTTACAGAGAGTGGAAATAAACCCTACAGAAATGGGACATGTTCAAAGACAGAGCAGACAGAAGGCACAGCAGACAAACACAGGGAGAGACAAGCAACCTCCATGAAGGAGGGATGCAGTCAGAGAAGGCGTCCTGGAGGACGCAAATGGGATTTTGAGAGTGAGAGAAACAGGGACACTTACCCAAGCTTACACAGGACATTGTAGGTATATAGTCAGCAAACAGATCAGTGGGCATGAGACCAGTGGGGCTAAGGCTAATGAACCAGCTTGCAAAGGGCTTTGGGTTGTATGCTAAAAAGTCTGCATTTTTATCCTTAGGCAGTGACAAATTTTAAGCAGAAAGAACCACCATTTGGAGCTGTTACAATGCTGAGGCTGGTGGATCTAGATGGATCTGGGAGTGGGGTGAGGGAAGGGGGAGAGGGGAGGGGAGAGATGGGTTATCAAGACTAAAGCCAGTTAGGCTGAAGCCTTGTGATCGATCCAAGGAGAAGCCATGGTTTGGCCTCAAACAAGGGCCAAGCTCTTGTAAGTAGAGAGGGACTGAAGCAGAGGAATATTTGGAGGCTATAACTTTAGGAGAAAAGAAACAAGGCCAGATCTTGGCCTTCTAGCTAGAGTGACTGGGTGGTTGAGGGTGTCACAAACACAAAGAACAGAATGAGCAATGTGACCGCAGAAGATAAGCTTTGTTAGTAAGCTGGGCTCCTCCTCTGTTAGAGGGTACAAGGGATGTTTTTTTCCCACCAGGAAGCTTCAAGCCGGGCCTTTGGTTTCCCAGGCCTGACCCTCAGCCCACCTACCTACACAGGGCCCCCAAAGAGTCCTCGTCCAGAAAACCGTGGTTTTTCTTCACAGAGCCAATATCCAGGGGAAACAAACCTTCTGTACGGCAGAGAGAAGCAAAGATGAGTCCAGTAGTATATCACAAACTCAGCCTCAGCAGCCCTTGAGCTGGAGGGGAACGGCCAGGAAGGAGTGGGAGCAGGAAGACAAGAGGCAAAGCAGAAGGGAAAAACGTCAGGAATAAAGGAGGGTGCCCAGGGAGTTCAGGGGAAAGGTCTGGGAGAGGCCTAGAGGGCTGAGCTGGACCCAAGAATTCTGTCAGTCAGTGAGGCAGGTCTATGGGGGATAGCAGGCCCAAGACCCCAGGTGACTGCCAAGAGCCCAATATGGGTTCCCCCATTCCCCTTTGAATCCTGGGCTGCTCAGGCAGGGAAACTTCTCCTTGGCCCAAGGTGAACCTGGGGGAGTAGGGCAGGAGCAAGGACAGAAGGGACAGGACAGCACAGTAGCCAAACAATACCTTGCATCCCCCTGTGTCCCAGAGCAGTAGGAGCCCACTCCCTGGGACTTAGGGAGGGGAGAGGGGAAAGAAAGGAGTTGGGGGAATGGAAGAGAGAATCTGAGAAGTCTCACAGCTCTCTACCTTACTGGTGAAGCAAGCCCATTTGTTCCTTTACTCATTCAACTAATGAGTATCCAATTGAGCATCTACTTTGTGCTAGGCACTTGAGCAAACCATACAGCATACAACAGTGAACACAACAAAAATGGTTCCTGCCTTCATGGAGTTTACGCTCTTAAAGGAAACAGATAAGCAACGATACTTAAAACCAAGATGGTGCAGTTACAAATGTCATGGAAGACATCAGCCAGCATGATAGTGTAAAGGGAGGCTGGTAGGGGTGGCGGCTGCTTGTAGAGAGGTGGTCAGCAGAGAGCTTTCTGAAGCAGTGACATCTGAGCTGAGTCTTGAAAGATGAGAAGCAGCCAGCTGTGCAAGGAAACTGCAAAGAGAGTTCCAGGCAGGAGGAACATCAGCATCAAGGCTCTGAAGAGGGAAAAAGCTTGGTGTGAGCAAGTGTAGAGAGGAGCCCTGTGAACAAAGGTAAGAGTAATCAATGGAGGTTGGAGAATGCAGTGTGACAGGCCAGAACAGAGCGTCTGTGTGTATTTCATTCTGAGTGTGCTGGAAGGCCATCGGAGGGCTTGGAGCAGGACTGACAGTCAGGCCTATGGCCAACAAGAGCCCTCCAGCTGCAGTGTAGAGATGAGAGTGCAAGAGCACAGGAAGCTGCTGTACTAGCCCAGGTGAGCCGTGACACTGGGTCACACCAGGCTGTGGCAGTGGAGGTAGTAAGAAGTGGATTGATTCAAGATACGTTCTGGAGGGAAAAGGTCTTGCTGAAAGGTTAAACATAGGAGATGGGAACAAGGAGGAATTAAATTAAGGATGACTCCTGGGTATGGCGCTTGAGTAAGCGGGTAAATGGTGGTACCATCAGGAGTTGGTTTTAGACCTGTTTAATCTGAGACACCCATCAGACATCAGAGTAGAGAGATTGAATTGGCAGCTGTGAATATATGAATCTGGAGCTTGGGGATGAGGTCTGGACATTTGGAAGTCATCAGAATATGGATGGTATTTAGAGAAAGATCTCATGAGAAAGAAATGTTGAGAGAGAAGAGGGCCCCGGACCGAGCCCTGGGATATCCTAACCTTTAGATATCAGTTAGAGGAAGCAGAGTCAGCTAAGGAGACAGAACCCAGTCAGAAAGGCAGCCAGGAGAGGGGGGTGTTCCAGAAGCCAAAGGAAGAAGTGGCCAGTGGCACTGAATGCTGCTGAGAAATGGAGCAAGATGAGGACTGGGAAGTGACCACTGAGTGTGACCACATGGACGTCACTGGTGAACTGACCAGGCAAGTTGACCAGGCGAGGTGGATGTGAAGCCAGGGTGCAGTAGGGGTGTGGGCAGAAAAGGGGAAGGGAAACAGCAAATATGAAGAACTCTAGAAAAACACAAAAGAGAAATGAAGGAAAACAGAGAAATGAGGCCATCACTGTGGGGCAAGTGAGGCCAAGGCTGGGCCACCAGGGTGTACAACTCCAGGCGGCATTCTTCACACCGTGTGTACCGACATGGCATCCTCAGGATTGGTACCACGTGGTGACCCTGGTCAAGACAAGGTACCTTAAAGGCATGGGCAACAGCAGAGTTTGCGGCAGTTGTGAGAGCAATCTCGTAGAGATGATGCGGGAGAGAAAGGTACAACTGCAGGAGCAAAGTCAGAAAAAAATCGGAGCAAGGCCAGGAGACACTGCTTGTGTGTAGTTGGAGAGAGAATCTGACTTGCCCCATTTAACAGACAAAAAACTGAGGGCTAGGGGAAGTATGTAACGGGGGAGGGTAAACAATTGAGTGGCCTTACCTTCAAAAAGCTGCACATACTGAGGGAATCCTGTTGCTCGAAGCCACTCACATGCTCTTTTGGCCTCGGCTTCTGAAACAGAACAAGGGAAAGAAACAGGCAAAGAAATGGGGTTAGGAGGGTGCTGATGCCAGGGCCCTAGGTGTATGCTGCCCAACCCCAGCAGGCAGGCATATCTCATTCTGGTGATCCAGAAATGGCAAGAGAAGGCCAGAGGTCCTAGCACATTTGCTCCAAGTCATAGCCAACCAGGAGGCCCTCTGCTCCCCAAACCCTACTGTCTGGGCATCCTGGCCCTGGCTTTCTTGAGTCTCATTCCCTGCCTCTTCCAAACCCCTCCCACTCTCCCACCCCCTGCCCAGGAACCAGGATCATCTGGGGTCAAGGAGGCCTGCTGGGATAAGAAGTCACAGCTGTGTCCACCCCCCAAGCCTTTCTGAGGAACCTACCCCCTTCCAAGGCCCTGGGTAGACCAGCCCAGTCCAGGCAGGAAATAGGAATGCTCAACCATTCCTATCATTCTCTTTCTCATCATCACATGTAACATTCTTCAGCACTTTGACAGCCAAATCTCATTTCACACACACAATAACCGGTGATGGCTTTGCTATCCCCATTTTACAGACATACCAACAGGCTCAGCCTACGGTCTCACAGTGGACAAAGCAGCAGTGCCAGGGTTGGAATCCCAGCTGAGTCTGACAGCAGCATCCCCATGCTCATTCCAGTCCTCCCTCCTCAGGGAGCTTCCCAGTACTGCCCCAGCTCTCTTGGCCTATTTGTGTCATAGTGCAGTGCTGAGTGTCATGAAGACACAGTACTGGCCTGTTGGGGTCTTGGGGGAAGAACATGGCTAGGTCAGCCTGTCACCTCTGCTCTGGGAGTTCTGGCACAGAGCTGGGCACCCCTGCCAGCGCCAGCGGAGATGTGCAGCTGGACTGAAGCCACAGAGGAGGCACTTCTAGTCAGGGTAGGCCAAATACCAGCAGTAAAGCCCTGCGCCTGCCCAGGCGGTTATTTGCTTTCCACCCAGGTGATGCCAAGATGAGTGGGGCTGGGGCCATGGGACCTGGCATCGCAGGGATGGTGGGGGAAGTCAGCTGGTTTTAGCAGAGCTGATCCGGCCACGGAGTCCTGCCCTCAACACGTCCTCCACTTCCTCAGCACCTGTGGCCACAGTCTCACCTGGCCCCCCTGACCAGAGGACTCCAAGGAGGCTGGTAAGGTTTTTCCAAGACAGGAAGAGCTCTCTCTTCCCAGTGCTCACTCACAAGGAAACCCAGGATGAAATCCTAGTGGCTGGGACAGATAAGATGAAGGACAAAACAGTATTTCAGAGATGCTAGGTGAGTAGACAGTGGAGGGAAGAGTGAGGGAAGTTAGAAGTCAGTCAGAAAAAGTAATGGGTTCCTCAAGGGTCACATACTGATGAGGATTCGAGGGAAAGAAGAGAGGGCTCTGCAGCCCCTGGAGCCCCTGCAGGTTTTGGGGGCAAATGGGGGTAAGGGCAAGGATGAACATCTGTGCATTTCTGTGAGTGCATGCAACAGGTCAGTGTCCACCACAGCATCTGTCTCTACACGTAGCTGTAGCCAAATGTGCTCATGTCCACAACTCATGAGGATCACTGTGGGACTGTGCACCTGTATATACCCACAAGCACCTCAGTCTGTGCATGCACCCGCCTCTCTCTCTGATCTCTTTCTCTCCGTGTGTGTGTGTGTATGTATGTTTTATGTTACTGCAACTTCCTAACCTAAGATACAGATCTAGGAATCGCCAGGACCTCTGAGGGGTCCCTGAAAAGTGTCTGACAGAGCCCTGCTAGCAGTACCTCCACCTGTCTGGCAGGGGGCAATGCAAGCCTGAAAAAGGATCCTGTGCTCCAGGCCAGTGGTAGTCTAGGTGATGTAAGACCAGTCCAAAGGGACTGCTCAGCTGCCCAGGGAGCCTTTGAGGAACATGGTTCTGCTGCTAGGACAGCTGAGCTGGCTGCCACAGCCACTTCCCTGTCCCTGTTCCTGTCATGCCCCTGGGATGAGACCCTTTCCCCATCTCAGCACCTATCCTGGCAGCCAGCTCTGCTTTCCTGTTATTAGGACAAAAGGGAGGTACCAGAAGATGGACCAGGTTAGGACTTCCAGAGAGGCGGGCACAGGAGCAGACAGCGGCCCCTAAAGGGTCACATGTATGGCCACCCCAGGAAAGGGAGCAAATCTCTAGGGTAGGCCTGCATGCCAGGAACACACCCTTAAAATCCCACTGCAGCCCTCAGTTACTCATGGCTAATGGAGAGGATAGGAGAGGCACCTCCCTCCCCTGATGCTAGGCATCGGCCCTAGCTGGGGGTTGGCAGAAGAGGACCATCTCACTCAGGCCAATGCCAAGTTCTTTCATGACTACCTAGAGCCCTGTAGCCCCTCGCTACTCAAAGTGTAGTCCCAGACTAGCAGTATCAACATCACAGGGGAGCTTGTTAGAAATGCAGAATCCCAAGCCCCACACCCAGAACCACTTTATTTAAGAAGACCCTCAGGCAAACACATTAAAGTTTGAAAAGTCTTGGTCTGAATCACAT